ATGAGATTATTAAATAAATGACTTCCGATCTGTTTATTTAGCTGGTTTCCTTTTAATAATGGCACTGAAATACAAAATAATAACTTATGAATGAAAATGAAAGTCTCGTCAACAATTTATCATGTTCCTTAAGCACGGGTTGCATATATTATTGTTTATATTCTACTGTTGCTCTTGCAATCCCATATTCTCGATAGAGACTAATAACAACCCTTGGCAAATCATACTTCACTATTCGATATATATCCAATCAGGAATCTCGTAATATTTGGTGTTAACATGCAAGTTCACAAGACAAAGCATAATCTTCATCTTGTTACCCACACCTTACCTTTATTCTGGTCTAGTTATACATTTACAGCTTACAGCTTATCGAGTGGTGAATGATTAGCAAAAGGCTTTGACTTGTTACCCACACCTTACCTTTATTCTGGTCTAGTTATACATTTACAGTTTACAACTTACCGAGGGGTATGTAAACTAAACTATAAATACAAAGTGAAACTTACCGCCAATTTCCTGCCAGATTGTAGTGAGTTGATCGGTTTCAGTTTGGTCAACTAGTAACTTTATTACTGGTATATACGTTTTATTTTCAGGGTTACATTGCTACAAAATGACAAGACAAAGATAAAATCATTTCAGTTAGGGTCTTAGTATTGGGAAATGAAATGAAATGAAATGAAATGGTGTTTTACATACTATTATTCAGCACCTGATTGGGTCAAAGATAAAAGGCAATGCAACATAAAATGCATTTAGCATAGATAGCTGCATTAGCCTACTCTTATTCTATTTCCAACTATTGAGGGATCTTTTAGGTGTACAGCCTGTATCACATATGGCCTCCGTTTATTGTCAAATTTGAAAGACTATTCAGCGAAAAAGTTATCTAAAAACGTGTTTTAATAAGTGTTATTAAGAAATATTTGTTACATCATCTCACCTTCAAAATATCCAAAATGGCTGGGAAATTTATCTTACTAACTAACGGATAATTCCAGTCCCTTTCTAGAATTTCTTTCGTACTTTCCTGTTTTTAAAAAAAAAATGGGTACATTAATTGCCTTTTGTCATATGACAACAAAATCTGAAACTGCACAAAAACGTCAACTTTCCATTCTCTATAATAATAAATAACTTTGTTCATTGGCGTTATGAGCCTCGTTCTGGTCTATACGACATGAAATGATACACATATTATATGAGCCTCGTTCTGGATACAATATGGCCGACGTATGAATAAGGTCTATACGACATGCCATGATATTCATATCTTATGGTGAAATGTTAAATTTGATAATATATGATACCAGGCTCACTAGACTCATTCAAATATATGAAGATCAAGTCATTCAAAAAAAAATATCTTAAATACATATATCATAATCAGACATTTTGGTCATTTAATCAGACGATGCTGGCAGATCGAAGAAAAAATACAGTCCTAGAATACTAATAATACCACTAACACTCAGTCAAAGGTGCAGATTCACTACCAGTAGGGCTCACCATGGCACTTATTAGACGGTCAAAAGACACCAAGACAAAATCCCTAGTATTTGTTCTGACACAAAGACCCAAGGGGATTTTCTCTTCTGCTAATTTCAGATTATCTACAGTTTGAAATGTACAGAACCAGAATTTACGAACATCTAATTATCAACAAACACTTTGTTTATTTAAAGAACTTAAAACTTAAGTCCTGTGCCTGTACTTTCATAACTTTGTCAAAGTACAAAGTTACAACCCTTACTCCCCAATACGTGAAAGTTGATGAAACCTAACCTACCTTTTGTACGAGAAGAACTAAAGCTTGTGAAGTAATTGATTGTAGATACATTTTTTCACGTCCGAGTTTTAATAACGATTTTAATATACGACTCATATATTCTTTACCCTCTCCCTACAAATAAAAGACAATATAGTTTTATTGAAAGATACCCATTAAGGGAGGCTCGAACCCACAGCACCGAATAACCAGGGAGCATATCAAGTAGCAACAACTTGATGGACTAATTGAAATCCATGCCATCAACCAAACTCATCCAGTATAAAACACTTGAAACAATTTCCTTAATCGAATGCAGAGCTGGGCATAATCTCAGTCGCACAAAATTCTCACAAGGGAGATAATCTTAATGAATGAAATAGAGTAAGGGGTTACCTTGAATAATCTGTCTGATTGAATTAGACATAAATAAACAAACGCCTGACCCAGCATGATTCCTCCAGATTCCTACAACAAAAGAATCAAACATATTCAACAAAATTGTAAAATGATCTGAGCAAAATACAAAAATATTTAATGCAAACTAAGCAAAAGATCTCTGAAGATTGTCAGACATATTCAAACCTGACATATCACATTCTGCATTGTGCTTTTTGTTTTAGGAAGAGTCAGAGTGTTCAGCAAGTTAGACGCTTGTTCTATAAGGTTCTTCGACAATTCTTGTTTACAAGCAATCAAGCACTGGACTCGATGGCCCACCTCAGATCCCTTATGAACATGTCTCATTCAGTACAATTTGTTTGTTAAAAATGAGATTTCATTCCCTTAAGTAAGTGCCCCTTATCAAGACTTGATTGTTCAGGGTGGCAAGTAATATATCTGGAGGGGCAAGTAATATATCTGGAGGGACAAGTAATATATCTGGAGGGGCAAGTAATATATCTGGAGAGGCAAGTTATATATCCGGAGGGGCAAATAATATATCCGGAGGGGCAAGTAATATACCCGGAGGGGCAAGTAATATATCTGGAGGGGCAAGTAATATATCTGAAGGGGCAAGTTATATATCCGGAGGGGCAAATAATATATCCGGAGGGGCAAGTAATATACCCGGAGGGGCAAGTAATATATCCGGAGGGGCAAGTAATATATCCGGAGGGGCAAGTATTATATCTGGAGGGGCAAGTAATACATTCAGAGGTGCAAGTAATACATCCAGAGGGGCAAGTAATACATCCAGAGGGGCAAGTAATATATCCGGAGGGGCAAGTAGTATATCCGGAGGGGCTAGTAATATATCCTGAGGGGCAAGTAATATATCTGGAGGGACAAGTAATATATCCAGAGGGGCAAGTAATATATCCGGAGGGGCAAGTAATATATCCGGAGGGGCAAGTATTATATCTGGAGGGGCAAGTAATACATTCAGAGGTGCAAGTAATACATCCAGAGGGGCAAGTAATACATCCAGAGGGGCAAGTAATATATCCGGAGGGGCAAGTAGTATATCCGGAGGGGCTAGTAATATATCCTGAGGGGCAAGTAATATATCTGGAGGGACAAGTAATATATCCAGAGGGGCAAGTAATATATCCGGAGGGGCAAGTAATATATCTGGAGGGGCAAGTAATATATCTGGAGGGGCAAGTACTATATCCGGAGGGGCAAGTAATACATCCGAAGTGGCAATTGAAGTGCGGTGACTAGTTGCAGTGATGATATTAGTTGGCCGTCAAACTTATTAATCGAGCGACCCCCTTGTTTAGTAAGCAAGCAGTGGACTTGCTAAGTCACCTCAGCTCTC